CATTCCATTGAATCAACTAAGTTGTCTGGAGGAATACAATTATCAAATGATATCAAACAAAGAATGGTAGATATGTGTTTGAAGGAAAAAAAAGACCTTTACAGAAATTGGTAAAATCTTTGATGTGCATAAAACTATTGTTGTGAAAGTGATGAAGTGTTTTCAAATATATGGGACCATTGTTTCTGCCAAAGCCAGGTAGACCATAAAAAACATCATCAGTTAGATCATTTGATCAAGTGTAAGAGTGCATCCAACCCTTATTTGACTACACATATTAAACGTAAAGTGGGTAACCCAGATATAAGCTTAAGGATTGTACAAAGACGTTTGACTAGTTTTGGATTACATGGGAGATCACCAGCAAAGAAACCACTTGTCTCTGCAAAAAACAAAAAGTTGAGATTAGAGTTTGCACATAAACTCATCACTTGGACCGAACAAAAATGGCCCAAGGTGTTATGGAGTGATGAATCTGAATTCAATGTTTTCTCTAGTGATAGTATACAATATATCAGATGATCAGTGAACATGAGATATGACCCAAAATACATAGTTTCTATAATAAAGCATGGTGGTAGCTGCATAATAATATGAGGATGTTTCTTTGCAAAGGGAATTGGTCCAATTAATGGAATAATGGATCAAATCAATTATCAGGACATATGCAGAATCAAATGCTTCCTCATGCACATCGTTCAATGCCAAGGAAATGGATCTTCAACAGGACAACAACCCAAAACACAGCAAATTTGGTAAAGCAATGGTTTTAATAGAAAAGGATGAATCTTCTGACATGGCCAGTGCAATTGCCAGACCTACACCCCAAAGAGAATCTTTGGGATAAAGTTGAGTGCCATATATGCCAGTATATGTATTCGAATCCGGATGAACTGTGGTCTACTATTCAAAAAGCATGGTATGGGACTCCCACATCACTGCTTGACAACTTACTTAATTCAATGGGACATAGATGTGATGCAGTGATCAGAAGCTCTGGTTACATCACAAAATACTAATATTTGTCCTAAAAATACTGGACAAATCTGCATACTTCCTTTGGTAGTTCTACTTTTGATACAGTGTAAAATATAAAAACTGTTTTAGTTAATTGAGTATTTTGACTCTTTTTTTTTGTGCTCTTTTCAACTATCACAATATTAATTATATAGTACGTGGTGAACAAAATAGAGGTTACATTTTTAAAACATATGTCAAGGGTAGCTCTACTTTTTGCCATTACTGTATGTCTCTGAAAAAACAATCGTCATCTTATTGTAAAAATGCATTTATTCAATGTGCACACTGCAGAAATGTTTGTTTCACACGCTTCTATAATAAATATCCACAAAATTGTGCTCTGAAAGAGCAAACAGATTGAATAATGTTAATAAAATTATATTTTTTATTAACAAAATCGGTCTTAAACAACATTATCATTATTCATATATGACTGTATTCTCAAATAATAATTTATTTGAGGGATTATTTGGGATTCATGTGTAATATTATCTTTTCAAATAATAATTTATTTGAGAAGATAATACTACACATGAATCCCATATGTACTGTACTGTACTGTACATGAATATTTTTAAATAAATATAATAAAACTACAGCGGTGCCTCGTATAACATACGCCTCGAATAATGGACGTTGCGAACAATGGACTTTCTATTTGGCCTTTACGTGACTCGAACAACAGACTTTCCGTTTGGCAGTTACGTTAGGCGAATAACGGACTTTCTGTGAACAGTGCAAATGATGTTTCCACTCTTTTGCCGTTGCCAATGACAATCTGCTATTTTTATAATATATTAGTATTATTAGAATATATTAGTGTATCTGAAGTACAGAGCTCCCGTTGGGATTCCGCTTGNATTTTTGTTATTTAATTTAAGTTAAGCATATTTAAACATGAATTCTTGGATGCCATTTATATTAAGCAAATGTCAATTAATGCAGTTTTATTAATTAATTTGATTTAAATTCAACTATGGCACATACCACAAAACAGAAATAGTATCTTACCTGCATGAGCATTGAAATCTAATTTGAATAACATCATTGATGGTTTGTGTTGTGATGTCTAATGATATGAGGCGAGCTTGGCACCACTAACTTCAGAATTGGTATTCCTGTCATTGACTTTTATTAAAACACAGGAAGTATATGAAGTTGGCCATATGTTGTCTGGTTTCCAAACAAGCTACTCTTGCCGAGTAGCTTGTTTGGCAACTGGGGCAAACAGCGTTCAAAATTTTGTTCCTTGACCAAATTGTTCAAAAATCAAGGTTTGACTGTAAATGTGAAGAGTTATATCAACCCAGTGACAATTTGACTTTTGAATAAGTAAAAATTATTCTGGAATTTTTCTGTTTATCAGGTACATGAGTTAAGTCTACTTGACTACTGACTCAAAAATAAACAGTAATATTGTTTAACACATTTATATATTGAAAATATAAGTTGTTGTAATATGTGTTTGTTGACAGAACACATATTACAACAATTTGACAGAACAATTTGACAGAACTAGTAATTTTTTACTAGTTCTGTCAAATTGTGTAAACTTTTTGTCTATTGTTCACAGAAGGCAGTGTCCATTTAAGCTATAAACATATAAAAAGGCTGATCCAAATATAGTAATTAATCTGCTAGGTACAGCTTTTGCTGTAATTTACAACGTTTTATGAATCTTTATTAGGCTATTGTGATGTGCAATAGAAAGGAAGTTTATATTAGTATGCAAAGGGTTGAGACTAACAGTGTTTGAAGTACATGTTGGATTGCCAGTGTTCATTTTTTTTTAAATATACCAAAAGATTCTAGTCAAGTACTGTCAGCTCCCAGGTAAGATTTGTCACATGAGCTATACTCAAATTATGGATTAGCTGATACAAGAACCTTTTGTGTAAAAATTTTAAAAAATTTTGCCCATTGAAGAACAATCTTAAATTTTTATTTTTTTAGTTTTAAAAAGTTTGATTAAGTACTGCAGTAGAAGCCACTTATTGTAAGACTTGCCAAAACTGATGATGATAACCAATTAATAACATTAAGCAGCAAATGTAAATAAGATGTAATTAGTGGAAATTTTATTTTATTAGCTTTAAGAGTTATTAAAATAAGTATTTAATAATGATAATGATATAGAAATATCATCATCAGCCACATGTTGAGGTTGATAGACATTTTAAAGTTGTTTTGCACTATTTATCTGAAGATGATGATTATAACTGCAACTCTGATTATAAGAAGTGAATTTTTATAAATGTATTTTAACTTGTTTTCAGACATGCTAATTCTAATAATAGTAAATCATTATTCTAATTAAGCAGATTCTACTTTTAATTAAAATATATTAAAAACAATAAGTATAAGAAAATAACAAGCACAATTTCAGAGCTTAATACATTGAATCTTAATGTGTTGAGTCTTATAATTTGTGCAAAATAAAACTACGGCCAATAGTATCATCATAATAACAAAGTTATGTTTTAATGATATTAGTTGGTCATACATTTAAATTATGTACAGTACAGTAAAAGCTCAATATAATGGACCACCATGGGACTGAAGAAATTGGTCCATTATAATGAAAGTCCATTTTATTGCGCTTACTCATTGATATAATGGATAAGTCTGTAATAAAGTATATTACTATACAGTAGAATCATGTTAGAATGGATCTCAATTACACTGGTTTTCAACTTCAGGGTGAGCCCTGAAGTTGAAAACCAGTGTAATCGAGTGCTACCTGCATCAAAAATTAACAGTAATTTTTTTCATGTATGCAAAATGTTTACTACATGAAGAGTAAAAAAGGCTGCTAATCCTGTACTTAATTTAAAATTTTACCTGTGATGCAGCCTAAATTTGTATAACAGGGATAGTATAAGACTTCATGTTTTACCTTTCTGTAGAACTATTGTATTTAAGAAAAGCCTGTTATAGTTTTTCTCTCGCTTTCCAAATTCTGAAATTATCTGCTTACTCAGAGACATTTCTTTACCAACTTCAGATTGAGATATTCCATCTTTAATCTAACAAATTATATTTATTTTTTGTGTTAAAAGAAAACAAAAAGCTTTAGATGTATGATCCATTGCTTTGCTTTATATTACAAATTTTAGGCTTGTCACTAAAGGAAATGAAAACAACTTAATGTAATGTGAAAATCTACACTGAAAAAATTATTAAAAATGAATTTGTAATTATTTTTGTATTTCTTTATGCAAATGAAGTAAGTTAAATGAAAACTATAACAAAATAAATCAGCCACTAAAAAGTATGTAATAACAGAACAGTGGTCCATGAGACCTGAAAAATAGTCCGTTATAGAAAGTGAGTTATTTTCTCATACTTTTGGTCAGATTGATGTCAACTGTCTGTAATAACACAAAGTCCATTATATTGTGTGGTTAATAATATCAAGCTTTTACTGTATTTGCATTTTTGTTATTTATGCTTATTCTATGGATTATTACTGAAAAGTTTCCTTTTTAAAAATTTGATGTAAAGAAATATTTAATTATTTTGTTATGTAAGTTATTAATAAGATTTATAATATTTAATGATGCTAATTCTCTAATTTCTGATGATATACATGTACTTTCTTAACATTTATTATCTCTGGAATAAAATGATCTGATATCCAGAATTAAACTATAAAATTCATTTGTGAGTCTGATGTATTGTCAAGATCTCAAAGTTCTGTACATTTGATTAAAAGTTCCTCATTTGTAGATTCATTTGTGTAAGAGAAAATCTTTGATTATTTAAATTATATGTAAGAATTTTCAAAAAATCTTAAAATAAAAATTATAGTACAACTTGGAAAATATATATAGAAGTTTCTTTTATCTAAAAACATAATCACAATAATTATAATGCTATTAAGAAGTTACCTAATTCTTAGCCGATTGAAATTAATAATAATATCAATTTTAAAAGCTACATGTATTGAGTAAACTAATAATTTTTAAATTTTCATTTAGAAAAAATATATTCCCAAAGCTAGAAGTCGTAATAATTGCCTACAGGAACATATCTTAAAAGCTCGTAAAAAGTTAATGGGAATGGAAAATTATTCGGAAAATAAAAGTGATATGAAAACATTTGAAGTGCCTGGATTTTTTGTTATAAATAGCCCATTGAAGTCACCAGCTTCTTTTAAATGTTATGGTAAGTTGCATAATAATGTAAAATACATACATATATTAATGATGATTATTATTTACAATACATCAAACTTTTTTGACAGAGAAAGTGAAAACTCCAATCTCTACTTCAGTACAAAATCAAAACAAAACTCCAAAAAGTTCATTTATTCTTACAAGTGTGACTCAATCTGCCAAAAAATTATCCAAATCAAAACAAAAAATTAATTTTGATATACAATGATATTCAGCAGCTACAGTATTCATCATTTTTGTATAATATATTTGCCATATCAGTATTTTAGATTTGTATTTTTATATAAGGATACTATATTAATAATTGTAACAATTTATTACTGGTAATTTTTAATAAAATACTCAATTTTTTAATTGTAAGATGCATTAGCAATTTAAAATTGAAAGTGCACAAAATTACTTTATTAACCTGTAACAACATTAAAATTTAACCATAAAATTGCCTATAACTTATATCCAGAATATACAGTACTAGCTTTTGCCCGCGGCTTCGCTCGCGTTAAGAAGTATTATTATTAATTAGGTATAGTTTTTGCGGCTTTACTTTTGTTTAGCGTGTATAAAAAATTAGGGCCTACAAAACTTCTTTGTACAACTATGTACAAAGGGTACAATATAATCCCCGCAAAAACTATACCTAATTAACCCCCGTCAAATATAATCCGCTAGAAATATTTAGGCATAGTATGTATAGTACTATAGATACGGCGGCCACTCATCATCGGGTATATGTAACTCAGTGAAAACACGACGATAGCGCATTTTAAAATACTACTAACGCCATCTATTGTCAACATTTAGAACTAAAAATTATTTTGTTCGTCTTAATTTATTCGTTCCATTAGGTACTGATAGGTTCAAACTAATACATTTACATCCNGACCCCTGTATCTGTATGAATGTGTGAAGAAAGTGATCCTCTACCTCCTCCTCACAACATCTGACTACCCGGCATAATTGGTGACTGCTCCATTTTCATTTTTTTTATGGTACAGTACGGTTATTTTGTGCTGTGGAACAAATTATATGTTTTAATATGTATTTTTATGGGAAAATGCATTTCGTATAACGGACTTTTCACTTAACGGACGTTCACCTGGAATGGATTAAGTACGTTATATGAGGCACCACTGTATAATTTTTACTTTAAAATAAATTTAAAAATACCAAGAATAAAAAAAATTACTTTAATATGAACAGGATTTGAAACATCAACCTCATAATTATGAAACTGGTGTACCCCATTGAGCCATCAGCCACCTTTAGAATAGTTATTCTAAAAGTAATAAGTGATTTTCTTTTAATTTTGAGTTTTGTATCCTAATGCTTGATACAAGTTAGTTGTTGGATATGCACTATATCCTCACCGATTTTCATAAAAATTGGCTCCAATGTCATACTGTGCGACAAACAGTGCAATGTCATACCTTAATCGACAAACAATATTCTGAAAAGCATTGACATTGGCCATGATATACAAAAGAACTGGAATCTCTTTTCACTCTCAAATTTTTTCATTTCAAAGAAAGATTTTCTTTCTCATATGAAAGGTTTTGACATTATAGCTTTGTCTGAATTACTGTGCATCTTTCCAATGAAAAGTAGACTGCTTTAGGCACTGCATTCATTAGTAAAAAATGAAGAATGGTCAACAAAATCTGTATGCCAGATTGTACTTGATGTATGTATCAAAAATATCAGAATCCTGGCTGGTTTCTGAAGAGTAGCATGTTGATTCTATAAACAATGTTCCGATACAAACGATATAAGTTGAATCTCTAGTAGAGATTCAACAGGAACAAAGTAATTTGATAAACATCTTCCCAGAAATGCTTACATCTTTGTTACAGCAGACCTTAAACCAGTTGTAAAAATTTGTTCCTGTTGTTTCTTTAAATCATACACAGTCAATAATCCAACATCAGAATATCCACATTAACTACTGAAAATCCTTTTACTAATTTCAGTAACTCTATCTTTGCAAGCATAGATAATGTTTTATGTATATGCTATTAGCACTAATATCATCATCTGCACCTTTTGGTCTTTCAGATGACATCCTGAGGAGCTAAGGTAGAGCTAAATGTACAAAATTTACAAGACTCACAGATGCTCAGTTTATGGCTCCAGTATAAACATAAGTCTGGCCCTAACAGTGCTGTCCTGATGGTAGATTCAAATGTGCCAGACTGAAGAGGTTTGACTTGTAGTAAAGAATCTCCTGATGTAAGCTGTGATGACGACTCATACATTGATAACAGAAAGTAAAGGAGACTGTGCTACTATGCTGTAAGATTGATAATTAGTGGGTTAGTGTTAAATATAAGGAACAAGTAGGTACAACAAACTGGTAAAAATGTTTTGATGTCTGTACTGTGAGAGTTAAAGAAGATTTATCAAAAACAAAAGATATTTTGCCCAGGCATAGCAAGTTTCATTATAGAATTTATTAATAGATTAAGAACCACTTCTTCCTTTATGGACAGATTCAATGAAAACATGGAGAAGGTTCCAATAACAAAATAGGCTCTACAATCAGCACAAACAGAATTTACACTAATAATTATGATGAAGCCTTGTTAGATCTGGAATTTTTGAGGATGTTGATGCTCCTATATGATCTCTAAGTTCAAAAGTTAAGAAGGTAGAATTTAATGAAAGAAGGGACAAAATGCTTAAAGGAACCTGTAGACAAAAAAAAAGATTAAATTAACAAAGATGGTAGTGGCAAATACAATTTTGAAAAGAACCATAAACTGTCTTCATTATCTATAATGTCTGTCTTTCTCTTTGGTGGGCCTCTATCAGTTAACTGATCAAATAAATTGTATAATAAAAAGCAATATGTGAGTAATGTAAAAACATAAATTTTCACAAGTAAATTTTTTTTACATTTTCATAATACAGTAGGATCTCTATTATCCGGATTGTTCAAAATAAACAAAAATTTTATGAATTTGCTGATTTGCACTTGGCGAATTACGATACTGTTTATGTATGTGATGGAATGCATAACTTTTTTTGTTTCAACAACGTCTCACCTGGCACAGTGGCCATAAACTCTTAAATATATTTTGCGTCGTAATAAAAATATAACTTGACATATGTATTTATAAATAATTTTATTTTAAAATTACATCATTTCTATGACCAAGGGCGGCGTAAGGCATGGGCAATGTGGGCCACCGCCTATGCCTCGCGTTTCGAAGGTTTATGCATTACTTAAAAGCTGCGAACACGACAAAAAAATTTTACTCGTCATAAAATGATAAATAGTTTGTCAAATTTTTATTCGTAAAAATGCAGTTTCAACTGCTTTTTATTTCATAAAATCCGTCTTCTGCGCCACCAGAGGGCCTTTTAAACAATAGGTAGTCTGTTAGCGCTGGTCAGTAGTAGTACAAATTCAATACGAATGTTTGTTTCTTGAAAATTTGATCACGATTTAATAAATACAGTACAGTAGAACCCCTCTAATCCGTCACCTTTGGGACTGGGGATATGGTCGGAACGCAAAAAAGGTCGGATTATCAGAAAAAATTAAAATAAACAATCTTCCCTTTGTCCAGTCTTTATAGCACTGTTAATTTTTCATTAAATGAAAAAGTAAAGTGTTTACGTTTCACTCCTGACATGTTGAAAACACACAAAACTGTACACGTACTGTACACACAATGTAAAACATATACTATAACGAACACAAGAACGCCACAGACGGTGAGTCACTGATGAGTCGGGACAAGTTTCTCGACTCCGACCACGGTCGGATTAACCGGAGTGACGGACTAGCCGAGGGCAGACTAGAGGGGTTCTACTGTATTTATTTTTAATATTACCAATATGTAATCGAAAAGAAAATGTGTATTATCATTAAAAGACAAATTAAAGTATTTGATTCGATTATCCGGATTAATTGGGGATGAAGACAGTCCTTATCTGGACTACCTTCATCCCCAATTAATCCAGTTAATCGAGGTTCTACTGTAATATGCAAATTTCAGTCCTATTCTACTTTTCTTATACTTAAATGATATGAAAATAGAAACAGAAAACATGACAGATTAAGCTTTTTGATACAGATATATATTTTATTTTTGAAAATGCTACAAATTAAATATTTACATGATTTTGATCACTATCGCCATTGAGTAAAGGCATTTGTACCAGACCTAAATGAAAACAGAAATAATAATCAGAATGCTAAATATTTTTAATTTCAAAATTAGTTTAAAAATAATATTTTAATAAATGCTCAAATAAATGTTATGTATAATCTATATTTATCCTGTAAACATAAGTCAACAAAATTTTGTCGTCCTATGCTAGTTTATGCATACTTGAATATAATTAAAGTGTAATATATATGTATCAATGATCTATATTTCATTTGCATCATTAAACTTCTAAACATCTGGTTGTTATGTAAGGTCTTAATTTGGCAATCCAAGAAACTTTCATTTCATGAAATACTGAACTTATAAATTTGGTAACAGAAAATGTAGAAGCATTAATCCATAATAAATTTGCTATAATACACTTCTTGCTTAGCTTGAAATATACTTGTGAGTACTATGATAGCCTCTATATTCCTAGACTTATTACACCATCTTTAGACATGACCAGCTTAGAACAAATTTATTTTCCAAAAACATATGCATTTCAGACCTACTAAAGAAGCTTATGAGGGACAGTAAGTCCAAAATGCGTATGTTTTTAGGCTGGTCTTGTGTCTAAAGAAGGTGTAATAAGTCTAGGAATAAACATGTGCTCACAAGTATATAATAAATTTATGTCCTTATCCTTTTTACATAAAAATAAGGTATTCCACAAAAGTATAGAACCACTCAAAAAATTGCTCTTTTGAGGTCAGAACATGCACTAATAGTTAGATTTTTTTTTAATGCGTAATTCAGCACCTATTTCTAACTTATAAAAACATAATTTTAGGAAACTTGAGCTTCTAATTTGTGGTTGACTGCGGAATAGCAATGAAGTCAATTTATATACTGCCACATAAGTATAGAACAGCCATCTTTCTCGCAAGTTTGAAGTGTGAAAGTATTTTTTTTCATCATGCCCTGTACCCATTTAACAGACTTTGAGAAAGGACAAATTGTAGCTTTGAGAAGCACTGGTTTAAGTCATCAGGCAGTAGCAAAAAGCATTAAGCATTCGAAAAAGGTAGTTAAGCATTATTGTCAAATCCTGCAAATTATGGAGCAAAGCATAGAAGTGGACATCCTTCAACGCTTACCCTATGAGACTGCAGATGAATTATTAATGCAGCCTCTAATCCACTGCGTCCATGTGTCACATTCGAGACAATTTGGGTATTCAAGTACATCATGAAACTGAAGGGTTTTACATAACGACGACAACATTGTTCGGTCTTAAATGAGAAGTGCCCCTGCTCTTAAGCCTGAACACAAAGCTGCCTGACTCAATTTTGCTAGGAAAAATATGGCCACTCAGTGGAATAAGGTAAGTTTTTTGTTTCGTTTAGACCTATCATGCTAGCTCAAGAAATTACCTATATGACAAAAAATTTAATTTGAGCGGGCCAGATTGGTTTAGCATTCTACTAGTGTGATTTACAAAAAGAGCCCAAGTACTTTTCACAAAGGAACTTCAGTGGTGGGAAAGTTATGGTTTGGAGTGCTTTTTCTTCATTTTTCCCAATGAAGAAAAAGCACTTCAATTGGATTTGGATTTGAAGAAATTGGATTTGGCATTCATTATCTGTCGCATGAATAGTGCTGACTATCAACAAGTTCTGGAAAACAAATTGCTGCCATACACATGTAGATTCAGAAGAATTCCTGTTATTTTCCAACAGGACAACTTATCTAGCCATGTATCACAAGATACAAAACAATGGTTTGAAAATAAATAGATTGGTCAGTTCCATTCTTCTGATTGCAACCCTATAGAAAACGTTTGGGGATCTTGGATGGCTGAATTTACGACCAAAATCTTCAGTATGTTGATGTTGAACACTTAAAACAAGCAATTGTCACTGCTTGGAACTACCCCAAGGCACCGATCATAAAAAACCTTGTTGATAACTTTCCAAATTGCATTTTTGATGTTATTAGTAAAGGAGGTGCACAAATAAATTACTAAATTATACTATTTTGTAGTATTTAATGCTTTTTACATTCATTTACTAGTCAATTCTATACTTTTGTGATGTTTAAAATTAGTTTATTTACAATTTCTGCTGTTTTCTGCAATATAGGAAACTATGAGTTTCAACAAATTATGTTTTAATTCATAAATCCTGAACAATATAAGAAAGGTAGCTACATCATATGTGTAATTCCTAATCTTTGTATAGTAGTAAAGTTGCAGCAATTCTATACTTTTGTGGAGCACCTTATAAATAGGATCATTTAACTGAAAGAAAAAAGAGGGTTTAAGACATATATATATGTGTCAGTCCACTCTCATGTCCGAGGGAGAAAATTTCACTTGACCATTTTGATACAGGAAATTAAAAAAGTGACAATAATTTTTTTAGTATATTAATATTGTAGAGTTTCCTTATTCTACAAAATTAAAATTATAAATTTTAATTATTATAGAAAATAGTTACTACAGGTATCCCTTGATTAACACGATTAATTAATCCCTCAATGCTACTGTGTATATCAAAATCACATTAATCAAATACAGCTGTACCTTAGTACTCGACCAAATAATCACCACCTGCTAGAATAAATTTTTAGTTAATAACAAAGAAGACGTATATTTTCATTTTAATTTCGATAAAAATGTGTAACTAATTTAAAAATAAAATGAAACCTTAGAGCTGCCTAACTTTGTCAGACAAAATTATACTCAATTCAGTTTTTTTTTTTTTTTTTAACTTTATGCATGTGGAACACAATTATCATGTTGGTAACACACCAAGATTTGCTGCAAGTTCACAAGTTGTTATTCATTGATTTTTAACAATTTCTTCCTGAAATTTCTCTTTGTCAACAGCTTTTGGGTGCCCCATATATTTTGTATCTTTTAGTTTAAAATTTCTGAATGAAACTTAAAACCACATTTGACATGTTTGACATTTGGGAGCATCTTCCCCATACACACTAAAGGCTGTCCATAAATGATATCCACACTGGAAGGGATGGAGGGAGTTATGACAAGTTGGACAAGGAGGAGAAGAGACATTGAACTTCAACAGATGTCCGTTTAAATGTTTATTTCAAAAGTTATTGTTCATAAAGTGATAAAGATTTTGAAAATTTTGTTGGATGTGCAGAGGGGAGGGGTTGTGGAAACTTGGACAATGAGGAGAGGAAGAGTAAAAATTTCAAGAAAAATGCAGACATAATCTATGGACAGCCCCCTATGAGTATTTTTTACTGTTTGTTTAGTGTTGTATCCTTTATGAAACTTAAAAAGTATACATAATATGCCCAATATGCATTTTATCTGCAAACATTTCAATTAGATTTTACACAAACAAAATGTGAAGTAAAATTTTAAAATAAGCTTCTAAACAAGTATACAACATTACATTAACAGTATTAAATTTCACAACTATCATAATTAAACTGAATATCTAACTGTCTTTAATTAAAACTTCTGCTACATATATAAAGGGATTTGCTGTGATTAATTTCACACGTTAAGCAAGGGATACCTGTATTAATAATTTATCACCTCTTTGGTAATAGCTCTATTGTACACTATATTTTATACTCTCTAAACAATTTCTCATTATAATCTTTAACCAGAATACACAGCCATTTATCCTGCAGTGAACATTTATTATTCTAACATTTTCAGTCTTCTTAACTGACCACCTTCAGGAGAAACCTGAATTTTACAATTTAAAAACAATAAAGCTGTCACTTATTCTAAAATGGCTTTACAATGTTTGGTTTTTGGAACAACACAAATTTTTAAAATTGCACATGCCAGACTTTTACATTTTGAATGGAATACTGTGATAAATGATAGAAAAAAAAACTAAACTACATAAAAAACACAAAAATAAAATGTGTAGTTTTTCTACTATATTTATATCATAATGTTGCGCCGGCTTCGGAGGAGAGTGGCAGAACAAAAAAGAAGGATTAAAAAAAAAAAAGAAACAAGAATGATTCGAAAAAAGAACATTGGAAATTTTTTTCTGTTAACGAGTTATATAACTTTTTTTTCTCGTTAGTGTATCTAAAAAGCGTAAGTTTCGGTAAACTGTATTTTGAATCTATATCCCAAGCCCCACAGCTCGTAACAATAATGTATACATTTTATGGTTTTTTTATGTAGTTTAGTTTTTTTAAATCATTTATCATGATACAGTAGAGTCTCAAAAACTCGGCCCAATGTGGACTGAAGGGTGGCCAAGTTTGTGAAAATGCCAGGTTATCAGGAATGGGGTTAAAAAAAAATAAGTATGAGTGTTTCCTCAGAAAATACTGTACTGTACTTGTATGTATTGTTTACTTGAGAATACAAGAGAATAAACTGCCCAAATACCCTTAAACAAAGGAAAGTACTTCCTTTATGAAAGAATAGTGTCTTTACTACATGAAAATGAAAATTAATGAATACACTGTACAGTAATTTACCTGATAAGACAGACCTCAGAAAAATACTTTATGAGGCATAAAGCTGTCTATAATGAAAATTAATTAACTAAGGATTTTTTTGCCCTGCCAGGGTGTGGCCGAGTTATCCGGACTGCCGGGTTATCGAGACTCTACTGCATTATATTCAGAATTTAAAACTCCAGCATGCACATTTTTAAAAATTTATCTTGTTCCATCCAAAAACAGAATATTGTAAAAATGTTACAGAATAAATGACATCTGAATTTTACAATTTAAAAAGAACAAAGCTATCTCATGAAAAAGATTGATTAAGAAAGAAAAATTATTATTCTAATGTTTTCAGTTGATAGTTTTGATCATTTCTTTCAAATAAAATTAGAAAACTGCACAAAACTTTTAAAACTGTTATACAGGTACTAAGAGCTTTTTTCATACCTATCACAACCATGGGCAGACAGCTAGTGATATGAGGCCTTTCATAAAAATTTGAGCTCTGAATTAGACTACCATCTCAGCCATTTGGTCATTGATATGTTAAAATTAATTAATTATAATCTAACTCACTATTTTTTCTCTCTTGTTCTATATTATAACTTTATGTATAAGTAATTAAACTAAGTTTGCTAAATGAGGTATCTATTTAAAAATCAACACTTACTCTCGAGATCCAAACTGTGCAGGAGGACCTATAAAACAATTTTTAAAATTATTTAAGCATTATTCAGTTTATAATTTTAAGTATTTTGTTACTCACTTCCAAACTGATTCGTTCCAAACATATTATTACTTCCAAATACTCCTCCTCCTGTTGACTGCTGTGTCATACTTCCAAAACCCATTGTGTTTTGCTGAGCCATACCTCCAAATGTGGGTGCCTGTGCTTGTGCAGCAAGAGAACCAAAAGTTGGTACAGAAGATGAAGCAAAACTAAATTAAAAAATGAAAAATCATCAGTTTATGAATTTTTGTAATTGAATATCGTGCTAAAATTTAAAGGATTAAAAAATTTCATTCTTGCATTTTTAGTCACAAAACTTTTGCATAAAATAAACAAGCATTAAAAAGATAATCAATATAATGGAATACAAATTACTGTTCACTAGTTGTGCCTGTATGAATTATTTACATTGGCACAACTTATAAAACAAAATACTGAATGCAAAAATAAGTTATTTGATAAGTTACTGTGACAAGAAATTGAGACAGAACCTTTGCAACTGGGTTAATCACAAATTTAAATGGTTTTTGCAATTCTTCTCAATTTCTACCTGTATTTGTTTTTAATTCTTGGATTAGATTGATGGAATAAGATAATGCAAAACACTTCAGTGATCTGCCAAGGGGAATACCTCTTGGGAGAACTTTCTAGAGGAACTGGCCCTATTTAGATGTTAAGCACATGAAGAAATTAGAAAACTTTACACAGCCAGTTCATTAGTGAAGTGTAAACCCACATCAACTACATGCTCATTGGTTTTATCCACTCTTCATTTGTTTTCATTTAGCAGCATCATGATTGTTTCCCAGACATTGTTGTAATGGAATTAATATTTATTTTAAAAACACTCACCAATTTTTGTTTGATAAAATGAATTATTTTACACTGAAGAACACACATGCTTCCCAAACAAACAGTGTGCCAAATCATTTTGAGAACTTTGTAAAATAAATGTGTTAAAAGTTAAATATAAAAAATTCATAATCATAACAAAAACTTTTTAAATAAAATACCATTCAAAGTGTTTTAGTAACATATACACCCACAATTTACACCAGAAGTAAATTGTAAAGTTTCTAAGAATGTAGTATTGGAAAAAAGACACAGTAATTGATATTGACATTGACAGCATTGCTTCTGGTGAAAAGCAACAGAATTTAACATTGTTATTTGCAAAAATCTTTTTTGAGAGAAAATTAGTAAAAAGTAAGGGTCATGAGTGGAATCCTAAATCATATGCTCCATAAAAATGTATGAATTGTAGAGTTCTGTATGGTAGTTTATTAGATCTAAGGAGAGTTATAATTTGATTACACAATGAATGATAATCACTATTATATAAAAATTATGCTTCTAGTTTCAAATCAGCACATCTGAATTATTTAATTGGATGACATTATTAAAAGTATCAGCATACTTTCTCACATAGTTTATAAAGATAGAACTGTTCTGAACTTCAGCTTTGAAGATATAATTCTCATAATAAAAATGAGAATAGAACATACCTTAAAAATTTTGAATTATATTTATCTAAACAGATCAGAAAATTAAATGTGTTTATTCTAACATAACATTACATTATTAACTATTTATACATACAAATAGTATATTCATGAGAATAAAATTGAATATATAATGAATCAAAATTCTAGTAAAAAATAAAAAAAGAAATTATCATAAATGAAGAATATTAATAACAACAAACATGAGCATTGCAATATTTCATTTGTATTCCATATTAAGTTAATTACTATCCACAAGTTTCCAGAGAAGGTTTATATATTTTCTGATACTGTAGTGCTGCCGTTGCATTGCCATTAAGATGCTGCAAGAACTACAGAACTATAGAATTGAGAATCTAATTGATTTTGAAATGATTAATAGAAATTCATTCATAACACCCACTTTGTTACTAATTGTAAGGGTTTTTATATTTTAAATTATAATGAGAGTATTTTCAATCGCTTTTATACAAATTTAATTTTTTTTTAAAGTAAAGAAAAAAGCATGCTACATGAATGGTGGAAAAATATCTTTTAAAACTGATAAAAATTTAAAGTAAAATTAAGAAAACCTAAGTCCTATTTATTTATTTACCTAGAAAATAATTGGCAAAATTGGCTCTATAATTTTACTAATATTCCATTATCATCATCTATCAGGATTTATTTATAAATTTATTAATTCATAAATTATTCCAAAATATTCACAGAATATCATAAATTAAGTCTAATGAAAAATTTTTGGACTATTTTATAGTTTATTCCATAAACTTGTATTGTGTAATTTTAAAATGGAGTTGTTTTTATCAATTAGTACTATAAAATCATGGAATAACAACATGAGAGAATGGCCGCCTTTGGAATATCCAGTATATTTGAACACTTTATTAAAAGTAAAGCCTATGATTACCAAGAAATGTTTAATTACATGAGTCTTGACTCTTATAATTATTTTTCAAGTGGTAAAGTAGGTGAATATTTTAATTAATAGATTGTCACAAAACATTTGTGTCCTTAAGACAAATGTAGAGCAATTACAAACCCTATCTGCAAATAATCATTCTATGTGGACTTGTGTGTGTCTAATGATAGCAAAGTTATTTATCTAGTTGGATGTACATGCGTGGCTGGTTTCTCATTCTCTTCTTAAATTTTTATCACATGGAAATGAATGTAACTGGAACTGTTGAATACATGGACAATTTCAATGCATCATGTTTTCATGTACAAGTACATCGCACACAGCTTCAAACCATTTATAATGAACTCTCTGGCTATTATCCACTGCACAATGTCCACCTAAACTGGCATATTTTATAAGGCATATTGCCAATGAAAAACTAAAAATTGCAGACCTACACTAACAACTAGCAGTATCTTAATGGCTGCCAAAACATACAACCTTATGTGGCAGAATTCAAAAACACGTTCTGGAAACTTGTGGATACATATCTAATACTAAACTGCAGTTACAAAGAATTTCAAAAATGCTTTGCAATGGTGCTTTTGAATAAGCATCCAATTAGTCATGCATACAAATTACATAACAATATACTGTTCAATGTTAAGTATATATTGTTAGTAAACTTATTTCCCTGCAGCATTTCCTATAATATCTAATTAAGCAAACCTTTCAAACCTAGAAGGTTGATTTGAAGACATAAAAGAACTGCTAATTGGTACAGATAACGGTGAACCACTTCCAAATGTTGGAGAACCGCCAAAAGTAGGAGAACCACCAAATGTGGGCCCACTTCCAAAACTAAATCCACTTCCAAATGCAGAATCTAATTGGAAAAAAAAATGATCACAATAAATTTATTAGTTTAATAAATTATCATAATTTAGTTTTTTAATATGTTTAGAAATGCATTGTAATTTATTAAAATCAATTCAAAATTGTCCTTTATTTATTCAAATAACTTCAAATTGTGATTTGTAAAACATTCTAGAGTGAAAAATATTTTGTACTCTGGAATGTTGTTTAAAATTTATAATATAAAATCAGAGGATAATTATTAGTGAATGAATTATTGAATAAATTGTCATGAAATAATAGACTAATAAGTAATAATGTTCTGAATGATGTACACCCTTTATCAGAAAAGTTCCAGGACAAAGCTCCTAAAAAATAGAAAATTTCAATTACCAAGTAATGATCCTAGCTCCTGTCAAAGCACTCCCCCTGTACCAACAAGGATTGTATACATAATTGTTCGGAGCCCTGTGGCTATGCTGCTGCCGTTTAAGGTTTCCATGTTTTGTGCTCCCTGGTTGTGGAGATCTTGTTGTATGTGCCCTGTTCTGTTTGTTCCCTCCTCCAAAGACAGGAGGTTGTTTTCTTGTTCTGTCAGTCCCTCCCGTTGTTCTTGTTAAGGAGTCTGTTAAGGAGGTTTTTTTTTACGTTTGTAATTGGAAGTCCATAGCCAAACAGCTGTTGTTAGGCTTCCAAGTCTTACTCACCCCCGATTGGTGGTGTTTTCTAACACACGTTTTTTCAGTTTGTTATACTCTTTTCTTTTATTTTTGTTCCCTCCGAAGAAAGGAGATTGTTTTTTCTACCCTCTTACGAGAGGGAATTGTACATATGCAGTTGTAATTTTAGAGTCCGTGCAGAAAGGGCCTCTACTGCCTCTAACATAGGGGGTTGTTATTCTGCAATTATGTTGCTCTACACACTGTAATCTAATTGTCTTTCTGGTTTGTTTAATTAATGGCACTCGGTGGACACTCTGAGATCTTATGCTTCACACTTTCCTGTCATATTTCTCTTCCAATGCTATACCAACTAGTCAAGGCCTCCTCATCCTTTAGTAGTAGTAGTAATTCATTCAACTATCTATATACATATATTATAGCTGCTTCTAGCTCGTTAATTCGGCTTTGATTGCTTATCTATATACAATTGGCCAATGCTTCTGGAGGTCTTGGAAGCAAGCAGAGAAAGCTTCAAGTGTGATACTTGTTAGCTCATTTGTCACAGCCCATTGGATGTCTGTGATATCTTGACAAAATGTCCCTTTCAGTTGTTTTTTCACTCGCAGAAACAAGAAAAAAATCACACTTTTCTGACAAAGGGTTGCAACTGAAAGGGACATTTCATCAAAATACTGCAGATGTCCAATGGGCTGCGACAAATAAGTTAACAAGCATCACACTTGAAACTCTCTCTGCTTGCTTCCGAGACCTCCAGAAATGTTGACAATTGTGTAGACAGCTGAGGGGACTACTTTGACAGGAGTCTAGGATTATTACTCAGTAATTGTAATTTTCTATTTTTTATGAGCTTTGTCTTGGAACTTTTCTGACAAAGGGTGTATAATTTATGAATTAAAAGCTGATAACAACTTGCAATTATTAAAAAACAAATAAATAATTAATTCATATATTCTAAATCAGAAACCAGCAAACTGCAACTTGCGAGCCACATGTGGCTCTTTGGTTACATACATATGGCTCCAAAGTAAAATTGAAAATAAAAATAAAACTATCATAGTTTCATTTATAAAATTTTTAAAGGATTTTATTCACGTAATGGTGATTTCATTTATTTTATAGGTCTTGCAAAACTTCATGGCACTAAGATGCATGAAGTGTGACGTCAGGGAGAGAAAAATGTGTGTGAAGGGGTACAAAGAGGGAATGGAGGGGATGGTGAGCAGGGAAGCCAAACAAAGTGATTAATAAGTGAGTGCACAGATGCCCTCTACTGGGCAAGACAATGTTGGCAATGGAGAAATGTGAAAGCAAGAAATTAAGGAGAGGCACATGTAGTTGTAAGTCTGTGTCACTTTGTTGTTTTTGCAACTTAGTATTCTCTTTTAGATGGATACATTCAGAAACTGCATTATTCTTTGCATCCAAGTTTACTACAAGTTACAATGTATTGTTGATAAAGGCAACCTGGCAATTACTGTTATTATAAAGGCAATTATTTTAAGTATATATATATAAATAATATTAAGTTTTATTATATTTAGATATGTTGACTGTTAAGATTTACTGCAGTCTATTTTATTTCACATGCAACTGTTACAATAAGTTGTGTTACTGGTAAGAGCTATTTTTATTATTGTTATTTATTATCTATATAATACAGTAATTTGAAAGAATGTAAACATGTTTTCTTGAGTCAGCATTGTCAGTAGAATAATGTGAAATTATACAAAGCTATTATCAAAACTATCAGATTTTACCAAAAATGCTGTTGTATTGCTCATAATTTTTAATGCATTAATAAGCATTTTTCATCAAAAAACAACAAATTTTAAGAAGCAATTGTTAACAATTGTAGATAATCAACATCTGAATCTTTGCTTTTTGAAAAATCAAAGTGGGTATTTTTAAATGTATTTTGAATGAAATTTGATCATTTAGTCATACTATTTTGATATTAGACATACAAGGTGTGACAATTTAATTCCAGGACTGGTCATGTAGCACTGCAGTGTCAGCATGCAGAAACTTGTCTAAGCTTATCATAATAGTTCAACCATCTGGATACTTGTCTGCAAAGATTTTTTCATGTCTCATAACTTGTTCTTTTCCTGTACTCCATTCACATATTGCTGTGAGAAAGTGCTATCACATTTTTGTCATAGAACAAAAAGAGAACATTAAGTTTTGTTACAAGTTGGGTAAAGTGCAACAGAGATGTATGACCTCATCAAGCAAGTTTATGGGAATGATGCGCTATCCCGCTCTCGTGTTTTAGAGTGGTTTGCACATTTCAGGGATGGTCAGAAAGACCTTGAGGACAATGCTCGCCCTGGATGACCTCAATCAGTTCGAACACCAGAAAACATCGAAAAAATCAGAGACTTGCTGCAATATGACCATCGAATGTCTATTCGGATGATAGTGGAGACAACTCACTTAATCATCACCGAAGATTTGGGCAAAAGAAAAATCTGCCCCTGCTTCGTTCTGCACTATCTCACTGAAGACCAAAAGCAACTCTGGCTGGAAGCATGTCAACAGTTCATTCAAGATGATGATGACCCCTCTTTACTGGATTCCATAATAGCAGGTGACGAAATATGGTGTTTCCAGTATGACCCAGAAACCAAGAGACAAAGTATGGATGGCGCTTGCCACAATCTCCACGGCAAAAGAAATTCTGCTTTGAAAAATCGAAAACGAAGGTGATGCTGATCATGTTTTTTGACACAGAGATCATTCACAAAAAATTTGTTCCCTCAAGTCAGACAGTTAATAAGGATTATTACGTACAAGTTTTGGATTGACTGTTGAAGAGAATTCGTCGGGTTAGGCCTCAATTTACAGCAAGAGGAAGCTGAGTACTGCTGCACGACAATGCCCGCCTGCACACTGCGACTGTTGTCAAGGAGTTTTTGGCCAAATGTGGCATTGTGGAGTTTAACCATCCTCCATACTCACCAGATTTGTCGCTTTGTGACTATTTTTTGTTTCTGAAAATCAAAATCACATTGAAGGGAGAAAGATTCGACGACCTGGAGGACATACAGTGCAATGTGACCAAGGAATTGAGAGCTGTCAACGGAAATGACTTTGCCAAGTGTTTCAAGAACTTGTACAAGCGTTGCGAGAAATGCATTGCCCTCCAGGGGGATTACTTTGAAACATATTAAAAGGGTTTTTCATTATATGTTCTTTGTATCCTTTTATTACCCCAGTCCTGGAATTTAATTGTCATACCTTGTATTTTAAGTGTACATATCTCAAGTTGTGTTTGCTTTTTGTCATTCTTAAAATTGCTTTTTGAAAAGTCAAAGTGAGCAAATTTTTCAAAAATTAGCCATTCTTGCAACTTTTTTTATTTGGTGCCTTCATTGTTTATTATTATAATTTATTATTTGTGTCTGCAAGAGACAAGATGGAAAGGAAATAAAGATAAAGAACTTGGTGAAGAGTACAAGCTGTTTGTGAGTGGAGCAAATGAGAAATGAAGGAATAAAGTTGATATCGTAGTTGATAAAGTTCTAAAAGACAGAGTCTGTGAGGTTAATGAAGGTGTGATAGATTTATGAGTGTTAAGTTGGACGTTGGTGGAATTTTCATTACGATTGTGTGTGTGTATGCTCCTCAGCCAGGTAATGGAGAAGAGAAGACAAACTTTTGGATAGATCTTGACCAAGTTATAATGTCTGTTTCCTGTGAATGAGAGGTTAATCTGTGGGGGTGATTTAAATGGTCATGTTGTGAAGAGGAAGAATGCAGAAAGAAGAGTTCTTGGGAGGTGGAATGTGGGAGAAAGGAATCGAGAGGGAGAAAGACTACTTGATCATGCTGTGACTTTAGACCTTGCACCAAGATCCCAGACGAATGGAGGAAGAGTATTCTTGTGCAAGTCTTTAAAGGTAAAGGGGATGTACAGGATTGTGGAAACTACATATATACATAAAAGATATTGGCTGTAGACAAGATGTTTAGCCGGCGGAAAAGAGGGTAAGGGGGAAGGAGGAGGAAGAGGAAATAGATAGTAGAGAAAGATAGAATCCCTCTGAATGGCATACATATGACTATTGTACCCTCTACATTTGATGTTGGCAGGCAGTTTTTAGGCTGCAAGGCCATAGTCCCCAGAAGGGTCTAAAAGAAAAGCCGAGTGTAGCAAACACCAATAATTGAGTGCTGCCACAAATAGCTAAGTGTAGAAGTTAGTGTCAAGTGGCTGTTAGTAGGAAGACTTATATCTACTTAATACTAATAAAACTGAATGTGAGCGCAAATCTTAATACTATTAACAGCTAGACAGACAGTGTGAAAACAAACAAACACGACGACAAACTAGACAAGACAAACGATTATTTTTTATTTTTTTTAAACACATTAACTTACTCACTAACTAAACTAACCTACCATAACCTAGGACAAACCTAACCAGATGACTAAAGCTAACAAACTCTAATCTAATTTAACCTAACCAGAAACCAAGCTGAGTCCCTAATCTAACTTACAACTTAAACACCCTTCCTCAGGATAAAAAACTGATTTCAATTTAAAAATAAAAATGAATGCTGTCCTCTGGAACAATTTACATTTTAAAAATTTTAACACTAGAATTTCAACCATTTAACTGCACGTGTTGGACTTCTACATAGATTAAAAATAAATCAATAAAGATGGCGTATTCAAACATTGCATTGAAAAGTATGAGTGGTTGTTTTTGTAGTTTATGACAAATGCAGTTTTACTGAATAGTGTTTATTATTATTTGTTAAACTGTGCTTTTTCATGTTTTAAACAGTTAAATTCTTAGCTTTTCTGAATTTTTCTCCTGGACTTTTAGTGGTCCTTAAAAATTTCTTCTTCACTAATGTATAGTACAGTACATTAGTATTTTAAAGTGTAATTTTAATTGGAGTTCTTAGGTTTTAAAAGATTGATACACAAGGTAGGCATTGGCCATAATATGTACAGTAGAGCGTCGTTTATCCGAATCAATTGGGCACTGGGGTGGTTCGGATAACGAATCATGTACGAAAAAATATATTAATTTATCCCATGTTGAAATTTCTCTCCATTGCGTGTCACTTTGTGTTGAATTTTCGTCGATGTTAAGCCTAACGAAGACTATTGTATCGTTAAAAATTATTTTTTTATTTGTACAAACAAAATAAATTTATTGAAAAATATAAAAACAATAAAAAATTATACTTCAGATGTTAATTTAGTATCAAAAACGTAAAATATTTGAGTAGCCCGAGAAATAGCCGAAGATTACAGCACCACAGCACTAGCGAAAATTTAAATTTGCCGACTGGAATGCTTTCAGATAACGGACGTTTCGGATAACCAGCTTTTGGATAAACGACGCTCTACTGTAATTATACCAGAACACAATGATGCCGCCCAGAAGCAAACCAACTAGCTTTTTAGCCTGTGCACCTCAAGGGCCAAAAAGCTAGTTTTGAATAATCATTTAGTTCTTTTATTAACTTTTTATATAATACATTTATATAATGTGTTAAATAAAAGATATTGTTTAAGGTGCTTTTCAACATGGCTACAAAAAAAAACCTAAGCAAAACAATAGATGAACATTGTGTCTTTAAAACTGAATGGACTTAATCTGTCACATTTATCTTGAACTCAATTGGCCTGCCAATTTGTCTTATTTGCCAAGAAAAGCTGGTGCACAACAGAAAGTCAAATTTGGAGACACACTTCACAACAAAACATGCCACATTTGCCATAAAGTATCCTGTCAGTGACATGAGAAAAAGATCAGTTGAAGAACTTCAGAAAAATATTAAAAAATCAAGTTCTGTATTTCATTACTGGAGACAGTCTGCAATATTAATTAAATTCTTTCTGATTGATTATCTCTTTACATTTAATGATTACATGTTTAGCATTTACACAGGGTTTAGGATGTTTCGGTGAGGCAAGATTAAAGTGTTAAAGAGTGATTTAACACATTAAGCACTACAATAGAAGGGCATAAAATATCACAACACTCAGTTGGCAATACTCCTTTTTATGGACAAAATAGCACAAATATGATGGCTATTTAATATAACTTTGCCTGCATTGTTAAACATTTTCTAAATTTTTAGCTGTGTTGCAACATGTGGCCTGAATGATTTTTTTTATCACATTAAGCCATCTTTTATGCTAATCGGGTTTTAAATTCAACAGAACTACTACCATGTTCAAGCTGCATAAATGGGCCAATACAAATCAAAGAGAAAAAGAATAATCACTAAAATAATATACCTACTATTTTTTTACTGTTTATGTTCATTGAAAAAAATAAAAATTGTTTCTTGAATATTTGTTTTTGTTATGTATTTACATGATATTGTATTTATTCACATTCATTGTGCAAGAAAAACTTTAGAAAATATAAATTTCGCTTATATTTCATATTGTATATGGAATAAAATTAAATTTCTATTATTATTCTATCGTAAAAAAAAATTTAATGAGCCAATAAAATTTCCAATCCTACAGGCCAAGCTCTAACTATTTCCATTATGTTTTTATGGCTAGCATGTTGCTCTAAAGTAACATAGCACAGATTTCATTGTATAGTGTGTGTGACATTTCTGGAACATACACTATACATTCACAGCCTGGATGAATTCTTAGGTGTGTTGCAAATATGCAACACTTAAATTTAATTAAAAAATACTTGGAATTTTCAATTTCATCTTTAGAAAAACATCAAAAATAAATTAAATAATCTTTAAAATTTGTATTTTTTTAAAATTTATAATAAACTAAACGGGTGTGAAACTTTTAAACTAACATAAATTTAGGCTAAATATTAGTTTCGTAAGTAATTTGATTAAATTATGTCACTTAACAGAATTGAGGAACATTTAATCTACATTTTAATTTTAATATAAATCTACATATCAAATTTTTTTAATAAATGTAAAAAATGTGTAAATTTTTAATTTTAATAAATAAATAAATAAAATGCATCTATGTATATCATTTTTTCCAACATATTTGTGATATATATAATTCTAAGAGAATAAAATTTTTAAATAAATAATTATTATATTTTAGAAAGTATCAAACCTTGTTTTGATTGAGTTTGCTGAAAAGCCCCAAAACCAGACTGAGCTACACTTCCAGTATTTGAAGTAAAACTTCCTCCAGTGGAAGAACCAAATTTTGTCCCAAAACTTGAAGCTCCTTGATTGCCAAATAGATCTGTAAATAGAATAATTATTATTGGTATGGAATTTAATCCAATTTGTAAACATAATCATGATTAAATTTCGACAATTATTCAACTAACTAGTCTTTTGTCCATCATTTTCCATTGATGAAACGTTACCACCAAATACATTTTTTGATGCATTTACTGGGATTGGTTTATTACCGAATCCGTAGAAAAAAGAAGACTGTCCAAGTAAGTTTCCGTCATTTTGTTGTCCAAAGGGTGAGCTAAAAATTTTAATACGTTAATAAAAAAAATTTTGAAAATGTTTATAATAATTTAATACCAAATTAATAAAATTACCTTGTTGTTTGCCCAAAAGAAAATACAGAAGATCCAGTAGTTGTGGTATTACCAAAGACAGATCCTTCATTTGATGTCGTAGGTGATGATAAACCAAATACTGGAGACTGACTGAATACTTGAGATTGACCAAAACTTGAATTAGTAGTTGAAGATATCCCAAAGCCATTATTATTAAAAACTGTTTGTCCAAATATAGGGGAAGCTTGTTTGTTAAATGTATCGACTGTCTGTGCTTGTTGACCAAACACATTAACTGGTATTTCTTTGCCAAATGTAGATGTGTCACTTGTACTTTTCTGTTCAGCAGGAGGAGAAGCAGCAGTAGTAGTAGTTGTGTTAGTAGTAGTCATGCTTGCAGTAATGGTGGTAGTAGAAGTAGTAGTAGTAGCAACAGTAGAAGCAGCAATTGTTGTTAATGAAAATGGACTTTGACTTGCACTAGTTATTATGGTTTCAGAAGTTGATGTTACTTTAGGGGATGAATTAAATATTGGTGTTTGAGTTTGTTCAGAATCACTCTGAGTTGTGATAGCTGCAGAAACAGTAACAACTTTTGAGCCAAATAGTGAAGTAGCAGTTGTTGGTGTGTTAAATGGTAATTTGAAACCAGTAGATAATGTTTTAGCTGTTGAAGTAGGTTTTTGAGTCTGTTCATCATCATCCTTTAATAATATAGCAAAATAAATAAATAAAAGACTTTATTAGATTTTTAATATAATCAAAACTAAACAGAGCTTATTTATAAATAGAATTATATATTTAATTTAAAATTAAGTATAAAGTAAGTCTGTTAATAGTTTTATATATTAAGAAATCCATTTTCTAAAGTATGTAGTTAAACTTATGCAGAGTTAAAGATATTCTTATTCATTCAGAAAAACAAAAGTTGCTGGAAATGTATGCAAAATGACATTTTGTCAATTCAAAAAACAAAAAAAAAAAAAATACTATTGTATTTTAAAGAAAAATAATTAAGCAAAAAGTATGGTTACTAAATATTTTCAAGCTTCTGAATAAGAGAGTAAACTAAAACTAAATAAATTAAATACCATTGCTACATGTAATGGAAAAAATATGATAATTAAATTCATAATAATATACTAATAAAATAATAATATCAAATTAATAGAAAGAAATGACAAAAATATAAAGTATTAAAATTGTTTAATTTTAAATTTATGAAGTGAATGTTTTATTTTCTGTCATTTCTATTGTTTTTATATTTATTTTTGGCCACTATGGTTATTCTCCTTTATTATTTTTCTATTTTGTATTAATGTCAGAATGGTATTTGTTTAGCAATAGTGATGCAGCAATGATGTGTTTCTTTTTCTCCAGAAGCCTGAAGATGGTTTTCATAACAAAAAATGTTTGCTTCAAATTTTAGTTTTTGGTGCATTGTTTGAAATTTATGTCTGTTTATGTGTAAGTTTAAATGTATTTTTTTATAGCAATTATTTAAATTTATATCTTTACAACTGAATGCTGATATTTCTTTTGATTTTTTTCACTATCAGATATCATTTTTGATTTTTACTTAGTATGAGAACTGATTCAAAAACAAAAATGTTTGACTTCATGGTATTTCCACTTTATTGGAGAAATTTAAATTTCATATTTAGATATTGTGAATCACATGCATTACTTATTATAAATATAACACAATTCAAGTACTTTCACGTAGCATAAAAGAAATGACGCAATAGTAAACACAATCATTTTCTGTCATTAAAACATTTTAAATACAGTGGAACCTGGTTAACTTAAATTTGTCAGGGGAAAAAATTTGGACTTCACATTAAAAAGTTTCAATTATGGACGTTTGGCTAAAAATCAAGATTTTGTGCATTCGTTTATTGGTGTCCAATAAATTATCCATAGGATTATTCCCTGGGTCTTATTACATAGAATTATTGTGTCAATGTAGACCTCTCAATGTTGTCCAGAAACTTGAAAATGCTCAACTGAATGGTTGAGCATTTTCAAGTTAATGAGAAATGCTTTCCTGAATGGTTAATCTGTTCACACCCAAGAGTTTAGTAAGGATTTTTTTTTAATTTCAATATTTTACATGCTAGAATCTACTTGTTTTTTATTTTTTTATCACAAACATATCACTCTCTATGAACACTGTTTTTAACATTTTGCTGTAAATATTAACATTTTTACACAAAATTAAATTTTAATCATTGTTTCAATTAATTTATCAAAAATCCATTTATTACATCAGCTAGTCAGTAAAATCCATCGGCAATGAAATAAAATAAAGTTTGAAAAAAATTAGGTTCAAATGACGGTTACAGTATTGACATCTACACACTGTCTGGAAGTCACCATCGCTGCCTGCTGTCACATGACATGAGATTTATTTTTACTCATACATGGTTCCCATGCTTTACTGAAAGTTTATAATTAGTTTATTCAATAGATGAACATTAATTATCTTATTTAAATTAAGATTCTTGAAAGTTTATGAAAATATTGTAGAGGAGAAGGTGGTATTATGGAACACTGCGGGTATTATGGAACCACCCCATTTCGAACTAATAAAGGCAAACTGTAGTGGAATGTGGCTGAACTGAACTAGGCAGACATCCATAGCAAGGGGAAAACCCGTTTTACTTCAGTTAAACAGTTGTCCGTATTTAATCAGCAAATTTGTTTTTTTTTTTTTTCAAAATTCGCAAGTTTTGAATGCTAAGTGAATTTAATTATTTTTAAAATATAAATTGTGTAGTTGTAGGTTCACTGGTGCATGTATTCCGTTCCAGAGACTTAGGGGTACATAGTAATCTGTGTGATTTTCACGTTTTTTAAAGTTTGGTGCTGACAGGAATTAAGTTAACCCAAGATGGAGATGCGTGAAATATGGACCCCATTGGTGCTTTTAATATAGAACCCAACTCCCCTGTGTTCAGTATTTCCAACAAATTCAAACCATAAAATAATGTTTTTACGTTTTATTTTATTTATGAAAACATTTTTTAAATTTAAA